TTATAAGATGTAGGACAATAATCTTAAGAAATAGGAATAGAGGATGTAACTTTTAGATCAGGGAAATGAGACAAAACACAAAAGTAAAAAACAAACCACCTCTAGCCGGAGGATGAGAAGGGAGTGAGGCGGGAAGGTTCTCTCTGCTTCTTTGTCATCATGTACGTGAGCAGCTTTGCTCTACCCCATGCTACCACCGTTAACAACTACTTCAGGGCCTGGCCAGCACGGGATACTGAAAGCTGGTTATTTCATATTTACCTGAATGCTTTATAACAATGACTTTAAAAATTCTTATCTTTTTGAAATATACAAAACTCGGCGCGCACCTTATTTCCTTCCTCAAAAGAAACCCAAAGGACCAGGTAGGGGTGCAGAAGTAGAGAAAAGGGATACGCGCTAATTGCTGAAAGCATACAGCGGGTGACAGGGGTTCTTTACACATTACTTTCTCTTGTAAAACGTTTTTATAAAGTAGCCTATAGTGTCGCAGGTCAGGATTTCGAGTGTTTCCCAAGAAAGCGAGACGCAACCCGGCCTCCAGAGCGTGAAGAACGCTCCATGTTCTACGCGGATGTGCCCACTTTGTGGTAATTCACGGCATGTAATCTGTGCATCTTTTGGAACGCACAAGGCAATGCAAAAAGCAACTTTCAGGAAAAGGGGAACACACCATTTTAACACTCAAGGACTCCAGGCACAGCGGAAGCAGCCTCTGCAGGGCCGACGGGCGGTGCCAAAGAGGCCACAACCGCTGCTGCGCCAATGGGAGCCACAGGAGCAAATGCCTCATATCGGCCCTCCTCCATCCTCCAATCAGCGTGCCCGATTCGAGCACCTCACGGCCCGCTCATCCCTATGTCCAATCACGAAGCTCCACATGAGCGCGCGCTCCCTGATAGGTCCGCGCCCAGCGCAGAAGGAAGAGCGTTTCTCGCATGGACCACACTGCCATCTACTGCCCGATCAGCGGGGATGCAGCCACAGGATCAGCTCTCAACCTTGCAGTCATGTCACACAGAAATACCAACTTGTATGAACCAGAGGCGGCAGCAGTTACTTTCTGTTACACAATGGGAAAATACAGTTTCCAAGAAGTCTGAATACCACACTTTATTTCACATCAAATATTATATGCAGGGTCCTACCAGGGATTCATTCCACTAGCACGCATCCCCAATTTATAGCTATAGACATAGACAGTGATAAATGAAAGTGGTAGACTTGGGACACCAATTTAGATGCTAATCTCTCAGGTGCAGAATCCACATCACACTTCTTAAGGAAGGCACAAGGCTAGATTAGGAGTAAGAAAACATGCCAGGTGGTGGTGATGCATGCCTCTGACCCCGGCACTCAGGAAGCAGAGGCAATGGGAATCTCTGTGAGTTTAAGGCCAGCCTGATGTAGAGTAAGTTCCAGGAGAAACCCTTTCTCAAAAAAAAAAAAAAAGTAGGTAACACAGTTTTGACCAGATGTACCAAGGTAACGAACGGAGGCAGAGGAGCAACGGTGACTGGAGGTGTTTGGTAAACAGTAATTTCATCTGCTTTTCCAAGTATTCCTCTTAACAGAGAAGAGACAACTGCCCTGTGATATTTATGTCACTGATTGTCATCCTCATTCTTTGGCAAGCAACTTGTTATTCATGTAGCCAGGACAAAGATCCCTGGATTTGTGTCCATATAATAGCTCCAACTATACCTAACACAAGACACAAACAGTGACTGTCTCCATGTCCTCATCTTTCCTTCATACCTAGGAAAATGTTTAAAAAGCTTTCCCAGAATGCACCATTCCTCGATTTGTATTTCCACAGAATTCATGTATGACACAAGAGAACAATATTTGCTATATAATTATTTGAAGCTACATTGGAATTATCACTAGTACAATGGCTTCTAAAGAGGTGAATAACTGACTTCAGAGGGCATCTTAACACATGTGTAGGTTATTTATGACTTTCACAGTGCCTGGAAAGCATAGCTGGTACTTTTTATATGGAAGACAGAGAACTGGTGTAGCATGCAATGCTGTGACTCTCCCCACAAAACCCTACCTCCGCCTGGAGCCAAGATCTGAGCATAGAAGGGAGATCCCAGCAAGGCTGGGGGGAAACCCATGCAGGTGGATGGAGAGCAGAGGTACTGGTGTGAAACTTAGTATGTCTGGGTGAAGATCAAGTGACATTTAACACCCAGATCATGTTTCTAATTGCACTCCCCACCAAAAGGAATGGGAGTCCCAATAGAGGGCTGAGTCCAGGGCTAGGGAAGGGAAGGTACAAGATAAGCCTACAATACACTGTTAAGTGAGTAGGAGGCAAGTGATGAGAAGGGGAATATGGAAGCTAACCGGAAAGCGTTTATACTAGCCAGGCTGGCATGGCACACCGGACTTCCAAGTAATGATAGCGATAACCATTAAAAAAAATCTCACAAATCCATACAATGGCAACATAATTATGACAGATAAATGAGGAAGAAACACAACGGGAAGCGAGGTCTGTTGCCTAAGGAGAAGAGAGTGCTGACCAGTAACTATGGCGGGGCTGGGGGAGATTGCTTTGCAGTCTTCATGAATGGAAAAAAAATCTAAGGGAAAACTTGAGAAGCAGCAGGAAGTCATCACTGAGTGTCTCCTTGCTTATAGGCTACTAGTCAAGACAAAAAGAAGTCAGGGTGTCCAGATGGCACACGCTGTGTCAGAGCTACAACATCAAAGAGTAGTCTGGCTGGGGAGGCAAAACTGGAACCTACCACGAAGAAGTTAAGAGCAGGGCAGGGTGGATAGGGGGCTGGAGATGGCTCAGCAGTTAAGAGCACTGATTGCTCTTCCAGAAGACCCAGGTTCAATTCCCAGCACCCACATGGCAGCTCGTAACTGTCTGTGACTCCTGCTCTATAGACCTGACATCCTCACACAGACATACATACAAGCAAAACACTAACGCACACAAACTAAAAATGAATAAATTATTAAAAAAGATAACAGCACGAGGAATAAGAAAGGCTAAAAAATAACTTCAAATTAAAGAAGACTGGATTTAAATGCAATGTGAATGGATGGTTCCTGTATTGGAGGAGGAAAAAATGTGATAAAGGGTATTTTTGGAGACTAATGACAAAAAAAAAAAAAAACAAAAAAAAAAAAAAAACAAAAAAAAAAAAAAAAACACACACACAGGGAAAAGAAAGGATTAACTCATGAACTTCATAAGTACGCTATGGCATATAATATGTTGGGTAATGCATGTAGAGAATTTAAGATAGAGGACTATAACGTGTGAAACAAACTCTCGGATAATTAAAACAGTATGTGCACACCTCATTGAAAGGGACACACTAGATTTTACACACATGCACGCATGCACACACCACAAAATGAAAAAGCAAAAACAAATGCATCACAATGGTAACAAAACTGAATATGGGCAAGGGATAGGGAGGAACTTGCTAATTTTCTGTGAGTTGTAATCGCTTCCAGGGACTAGGATATGACTCAGTAAGAGTGCTTGTTGCACACACAGTGAAAACCTGGGTGTGAACCCCCAGACCCGTATAAAAAGCCCTAAATGGTCTATAACTTAGGGGTTGGGGTACTGATGAGAAATTTGCTTGGGTTTGCTGGTGGTCAACTCACCTCCAAGTTGAGTGAGAGACATTTTTACTACTTAAAAACCTGTTTCTAATTAACGGGACTAACTTCACATTACACACAAACACAAAGTACTTTCATAATCAACAATAAGCCGCATTTTTCATTAATGCATCTTCAGTGCAAACTGACTAAAGATAGACTTTTGAGTTACCTAGAGCTTTACCCAAAACTGTTCATTCTGCAGCTACTTGCTGTGTCTGATTTCGCCTGTATTACTGTACATCTATGACCATGCCCACTGTATGGCAGTGGCTGTGCAAGCATGTAGCTATTTCCGAATCCTCAGTGAAGCCTAAGTAACTCATTACATTTTGAAACACTACTATATGCCAAATTACTTAGTTTCTTTTTTGCATCATGGTAATTATATAAATTTAAATGTATTAGGTATAGAAGCATTACATTAGCTTTGAATTTATTTTAATTTCAAGACACTATAGAATGCTGATTTAACCTTTAAAGCGAGAGTCAGACTGTAAGTTCCCTAGGGAGGGCTTGATCACTCACCTTCATCCCTGCCCAGCTCTGCTTTGGCACCCATTCCAGAGCTGCTGGCTAACTCTGCAACTCACATTCTCAGGGGAGACCATGATCATTGTGAAACATCCAAAAGGTAGCCAGAACTGACGGCTATGTCCCTGCATTTGTGAAGACTCCGTCACAAAGCGGGCTCTACTCTTATCTACCATAAGGCACAAAGGTGGGAGGGATGTTAGGTCAGCCCTGGAATTCATGTGCATGGTACCAGTCTCGTAACCCATCTCCAATCTGCTCACTCCTAAGTGTCCTGACCATCTTCTGTGTATTACAGGACAGTCAGGAGTGTGCTCGTTAGGACCTGCGTAAAATGTGCTTGTGGGGTCAGTGACTTCTTTTACGCCCTGATAACGTGTATAGGAAAGGCCACCATCTGTGAACCGTGACAAAGGAAGGAGGGAGTAAGCACGAGCTTATTCCCGGGACGCTCACCGTCTTTTCACGGCTTCCATGAGGCGGCAAATTTGCTTTCCAGATCCGTCACTTGGTAATGATACAGAAGTTAAGAAAACAATGGGGTTGAAAATTAAAAAAAAAAAAAAAAAGAAATAGTTCAAAGTATAAAATTCTGTAAAATAGAGACAGGCTGCATGAAAACCACACGAGACAATGAACAGAAAGCGAGGATCACTCACACAACGTCAGTGGTAAAATAATACGTAAGTCAGCATGAGGAATGGAGTGGGCAGCAAAGGCGATTCTGCCATGGGTGAGCATAACTCTCCGTAAAAGTACCCTTTCATGTATGCTTCATGTGAGCAAATGTGAGACATGTGGGGTGACCCCAAATGACAGAAACCTACCCAGGTGGCATTGCTCTTTCTCTCTTGTTTCCCACTGGCGGCTGTCCACGTACGCTGCAGAAAGTAGGCATCTTTTACCTGAGGGAAAGACAGTCAGCTCAATAGGCATGTTGTGCACGGAATACGACTTCTGTTGTATGTGCAACCTCTAGCTTACGTGTTTTTAAAATTCTAACCTGGTACTATAACGAACACTGCACAGTTCACAACAAAACGCAAAGAAATCTGAAAAAGTCCTCAGGAGTTTTATAGGAAAGGTGCTGGTTGTTTTAATCTTTTAATGTTAAAGCAGAAAGTCATTTATACAATTCAATTATAGCCTGGGGTCTTAAAGTCCTTCATAGACCTCAAATAACCTGCTGAACTATTGCTAAGTCCTTAACTAGATGTGTTATAGTTATCAATCCTGAAAAGATTTCCATTTGATTCTGAGTAGCCCAGCAGAGATGAAAGGAACTGGAAAGCTAAACTGGAACCATCACACAGGTGACAGATTCCTGGTGGCTGGCAGTGCCTGGCACCGACAGTACTCAATGAACACTCAGTACACAAAACCTAGAATAAATCAGAAAGATCTGATGACAGCCTCAACCAACGTAAAACCTTCTATACCTAAAAGGATACGCGCAGTAAATGATAGAATAATCTACAACATGGAAAAAAATAAGTAACTTGTATCAGGAACATAAGTACCTTTACAACTTAAATATAAAACAACCCCTACTGAAAGGTGGGCAAAGGATTTGAGCAGATAGTTCTTAAAAAAAAATAAAATAAAATAAAATTGGGGGAAGGGAATATTCTGGACCTGGAACACAAATTTATTAATCCCAGCCACTGATCCTCTGTCATATGTATATATATATATATGTTCCCCTGTCCTACAAAGTAAATAAATAAATGTAATTAAAATTTTTAATAGTACAAAAGGAGCTGGGGCTATTACTGACAGAGTTCTAACCCAGCATGTGTGAGTCCTGTGCTCAAGTCCCGATACCACACACACACACACACACACACACACACACACACACACACACACACACATAAAGGCATGCACAGGCACAAGCAAAGATATTTACCATCACTGGCCAGTAGGAAAATACAAAGCAAAGTGTGATAAGTGTTATCACAATTACCAAGTGACCTAGTAACTCTACTCCTAGGTAGATATAAGAAGAATAAAAACAAATTTACATCAAATTTATATACCAATGTTCACAGAAGTTTTGTTAATATGGATAAAAGCAGAAATGCCTGAAAATCCACAGGTTATATACCAAGACTTGGTACATCATTATAATGGGACATTATTTAGCAATTTAAAAATAAGAATCTTAAAAACATGTTAAGTGAAAAGATATCAGACTCAAAAGAGCACATATTATAACCCACTCCCGTGAAATTTCAGAATAGGCAGATCTAGAGAGGAAGTATGTTACTTGCTGCCTAGAACTGGGAATAGGTTCTGGGAAAGTCAAAGTAATAGATATAGATTTCTTTGGGGTGTGATAAAAATATCCTCAGTTGGTTGTAAAGATTCTCTCTGCAGCCAGGGGCAAAAGATTAAAGGAAGCCAACCAGAAGCAAAGTGGAAGACCTAGACTCTCACACTTTAGTATGCTTATGAATCTCATTAAAATGCAGACAGCAGTTTTGTAGGTCTAGAGTACAGTCTGATTCTGCATATCTAACAAGTAATGACAATGAAAGTCCTCAGACCACATTTGAATGGTACGAGAGACAGACATCAAACTCACAGGCTTAGGGCTCAGCCTGCCCAATTCCTCTCTAAGCATGCCACTCAAAATGTTTACTTAGCCAGGCTGAGGCAAAGGTGGGAGTATCTACAAGTTCAAGGCCAACCTGCCCTATATCAAGTTTCAAGCCAACCAACCCAACATAGCGAGACTCTTATCTCAAAGAACTAGAGTGTTTACAATTGTCCCATGCGAACTATACTTGGATCACTTTCCTTTGAGCAACAATAGTCTTTAAAATAAGTGTCCTCAATAAAAAGAAATGTTTTGTCCATTGATTTCTATAATACTTTTAAGGACCAGAACTTCAAAATATGATGAAAAACATATCTGTTCCTTATACATTTTATTGTTCTTTCAGCCTTTATTGTTTGTTTTTATTTTTTTGAGACACGATTTCTCTGTGTCAGCCCTGGCTGTCCTGGAACTTACTTTGTAGACCAGGGAGGCCTTGAACTCAGAGATCCACCTACCTCTGCCTCCCAGGTGCTTGGATTAAAGGCATGTGCTTCCCTGCCTGGCTCATTATTTGGGCCTTTAATCAAATTCTCCAATCAGTTTTTATTGTTGTTGAAAAAAAGAAATAATGTGATTGTAGATATAGACAAGCTTTTAGAGTCACAATTTAACTTCTAACCCTTGCCCTGCCAAGGCAAATGTTATGAATAACTGGTCAAATCACACACACCTCTTGACTGCCTTTGATTATACACAGAATGAGGGAATACTACCTATCTCAGCATGGTAGTTAAGGACTCACTAGTATATTAATGTCTACTGAACAATGGTAGTAAGGTTCCTTCCTCTGTCCCTTCCATATGCTCTTCTTTGTTGTTGTTCTATCTCAGTTAATTTTTCTTCCATTGTTTTGATCATTTTACTTGTACTTACTTACATCATATTTTAAGTAGACTAGGTAGAAGTGTCAAGTATTGCATATACTGACAAATTTGTACAAAGCAAACATTTCAGATCCAACATTCCAGTATCTCTAAGTCACTTATGCACATCCCAAATCTTAAGTCCTATGCACTTACATTGCCTCTCATTAGCTTCCAAGTATGGCCTAATGTAGCATTTGTCTGATATGACTTACTATAGTGATGAAAATGTTCTATTATAAGCTGTCCAAGACAAAAGCCACCAGCTCCATAGATCCACTGAACACTTAAAGCACCTTCTGCCACTAAGTTTTTAACTTTATGTATCTTCAACTTAAATTTAAATAGCTACATGTACTAGCAACTACCGTGTTTGAATGGCACAGGTGCCGTATAAGTTTACTAGTTTAAGCAAAAATCAAACTACTAAATTAAAGGATCTCTCAAGTTGCTCTGTGTAATTTCTTTCCCTTGTTAGGATGGTTGCCCCAGACACTATTAGCCACCAACACACCCTCCCTTAACTACTAGATAGGGTCTCATTAGATTTCAAGGAATTTACTAGCAACATAATTAAAGATGGTAGCTCTACAGAATATTAGTACCAAGTATTGTTCATATCAATTCACTGTGCGACATGTAACATTTTAACCAGGTAGTTCAATCAGTTAATCCTCAGAAAACTCTCGAGGTCAACTATGAAGTTTCTTAATGGCTGTACATTACATAGTGTGAGTAATACATAGAAAGCTGGTGTTAAGGCAGGTTGATTGAAAAGAGGAGATAAGCGACACTGGAAACATCCAAGTGTTGTTAGTGCATTTTACTCCCACAATGAGACACATCTTCAAACATTATGAGGTTGTAACCATTGCAAACGTGGCTTTTGTAAATACATTAGAACAAGTTTTCATCATCAGATCCACTAACAAGGCTTTGAGTGGCGTGCGATTCAACTCGGACATCAAAGCGCTCTACGAGTAACTATTAATACTTTCTCACCTACACTTGGAAAACGGTTAAAAGGAAATGACAGGCAGAAGTTGTGACCAAGGTCATCGGGGAAAATGAGGCTGGTACTGAAAGGCCCTTTCGAGAGGTGAAGACCGGTGTCCGGACCATCAAGTACGAGGTAGTGAGGAAAACTTTTGCCTGAAGCACCTCCAAAGCAACTTCAGGAGGAAGAAAACTGTTCTAGCCCCCAGGGGTGAATGAATATATTTGGGCTTTTCATGGTGGGCAAAACGTCTACTGACTTAACACATTAAACATGAAAATCTTTCGTGCTATAGCCTTCCTCTCCTTTGCATAATTTTGGACTGGCGAGTACTGTCCTTAAAGAAAATGAGTTAATTCTCCTTTCCACGCTACCAATAACCTAAATGGCTTCTCTAGCAACCGGATCCCAGAAGCATTCACGCTCTTCTTGAGAGCCTATCGCTCCCTTCATTCAGTGATCGGCGTTCTGGGGGGGCTGATGGAGCTGCCCCTCCACGGCAGCAGTCACCAACCTGCCAGGGAAAGGCGAGGCGTTGATACCCTCCGCGCCAGGAGCATCCCGCACCGCGCCATGGGGGCCGCCATCTTGAAGCGTACCAAGTAGAACGCCGGCCCGGGGGTCAGGCCCACCTCCGCCGGAAGTGGACCGCCTTGAGCGTCCCTCCTCCCCCCCCGCCGGGTCCCGCAGTTGGTGCGGTCCGGGCTGGGACAATATGGCTACGGTATTTCGGCCCCTGGAAAGGTTGCGGGCGCCGCGTCCTTCGTGGCACCCCGGGGTGACAGGCTCGGGCTCTGCCTGCGGCCGCTGCACTCTCGGAGGTACCCGCGGCCTCACGCTGAGGAAGGAGGGAGGGAGGGGGAAGAAAGGAGCCTCAGCGGGGTCTGAGTTTGCAGAGGGCGCGGGCGACCTTTCCCTCTAGCTGCACGTGTTTGCAGCCCCGTTTGCCGGGGACCGGGAACGCCTCCCCTCGGTGCCTTGGTGCAAAGGGCAGCTAGGGTTCACGTTGCTCCCGAGACCGTCCCTAATTCATTGGGTTTTCTTTTTCGGAAGGATTTGGTGGTGCGGAGTTTAACAGGCTTCCACGTCCCCCAGGCTATTCCTTTCTGAAAATATTAAAAGTGAGACTGCTACTGAGCGATAATAGAAGTATTTAACGTTCTGGTGTATGGGTTCCTTTTCTTCAGCCACCATCCAGTCGCAGAGGTGGTGTACAGGAATAGGAAACAGACAAGGTTGTCACCTGCCCAAGGTCACATGGAGCTGGCAGAGGCAGTATTTGAACGAAAGACCTGGGTCTGACAGCTTCATAAATAGCTACTTTTATTATTTCTTTCTCTTAGCAGAACTCCTTGCACCATTTTTTGGCTAAGCTTTTGTTTGTTTTTTATCTCGTGCACAGCCAAGGGATAAATTCCAGATTTACTAAGCTGTAGTCAGTGATTTTTGACTTAAGGCTATTTGAGTCCAGATCTGAAAGGCTGTCTTTAATTTAGAAGTTACAAAACTGGAAATCACAATCTAACTTTTTCCAATATCCCATGCTTCTTGAACCAAGATAAACCAAACAAATTTGTGTGTGTATGCAATTCCTTAACTAGATAGAAAATGCCCATTTCTTATTCATATCTTATCTTGTCAACCAGTCTTCATACTCCATTCATTAATCATTACCTACTTTCAAACGTAGAACTTTTGCCAAGATTTGCATTCAGTTGTAGACTGGAGATGTTTGTTTCCCTACAGGGTTACTATTTGTGTCTATCTGGATGGGCCATTTATTGCTATAATAAGTGAAGATGAGTTCATTAGAGGCAATCAAGCTCTAACATGTTATTTGTTAGGGAAAAAAGCAATCAAATCTTTTTTTCTTTTTAGCTAAAAGATATCTACTCACCGACAGCATTGTGAAATTAAAGGAATTCCAACAGAAGAAAGTGGCTGTTGCACATAACCTTCCCAGCACCAAAGGTAATATTAGTATCTGTTTCATTAATTCTTTCATCCATTTGTCGTTCAAACTTCCTCTCTGTCTCTATTTATTCTTTCAAGACCTATCTTTTAGAGAGAGAGAGAAAGTAAGCATTTGCTTAGTTTCCTAGTCTACGTTTCATCTCACACACTGCTACTGGAAATCTACAACTCATCTCTTAGTCCTGCCCCCAGGATCCCAGGGAAATACTGAAATTAGCCCTGTGGCCAGTTGTCTAGATCTGTGCCAGTCAGAATGTGATTGAGGACCTGCATCAGCATCCGTTGGGAGATTGATGGAGATACAAGGTGGAAAGGCAGGAGATTTGTATACACGAATCCAGGTGACTGGCTTTCACATGTTGATTACCTCTTGGTGAAACATAGACTTTATGATATACCTGTAGGTAAATGAGACCATGGTGTGATAGTGCATTTTGGCATTTTTACATTGTGAAATCTAGATTTACTTTGTGAAGTCCATTGTGTTTAGAGTATATAGGAGAATCAAAATTAGCAAAGTATTGGTATTTGTTGAGACTGGTTGGCACTTGAGGGTCATTATATTGGTTTTTTTGTTTGTTTGCTTTTCTACTTTTGAGAGGTAGTTCAGCAGTTAACAGTTTGCTGCTGTTCTAGAGAACCTGAGTTTGTTTCCTAGCAACCACGTGGCATAGCTCACATGTGCCTAGAACCCTAGCTTCAGGTGTTTTTGCAGTCAGAAACATGCACAAACCCGAGCTCAGACACACATACATGTATATAATTTAAAATTTTAAAAGTTGTAAAGAGCACGAGAAGCATGAGGACTCCAGGTCCTTTTTGCATCTTGGCAGTTCTGATGCCTTCATTCCGTGTCCTACAGGTGGAATTTTCTTCTAGAACTTCAAACTCCTTTATAAGCATATCTAAGACTGCCTCTGGCTTTCATTGTTTTGGTTTTTAAGCAACTCTTTTTGTTGCTGTTGACTTGTCATATGAATTTGTTCTCTGAAGACAATTTCATGTATGTTCTTTATACACAGCAATCGCTGTTAACCTCCACTTCCCAACCACTCCTTCCAAATCCTTGTCTCACATTCATGCCCATTTTGTTCCGTGACGCACTGCAGCTAATCCTGTTGACGTCTTCAGATGTAGACCCAACCCTCCTTCCTCTTGCTGCCAGATACTGTTGAGCAGTGGACTAACACTTTGTGCCTTCATCTCCCCATCCCAGTCTATTCTCACTGCTCTGCCAGTCATGGGATGCCACCGTGGAACTCTGAAATAAGCCTTGGCAGTCAGGGAAAATATTTTTCTCTCCAGCTCAATACGCTCAATATGGGTTCACCGAAGTATCTCCTTTTTATTCCTTTTATGTATTTTTAAAGATCTTATTTTATGTATATGGGTGTTTTGCCTGTATGCATGCCTGTGTACCGTGTGGGTGCAGTGCTCACAGACAACACGGGAGAGGGTGTTGAACCCTCTGAACGGGAAGTTACAGGTTCTTGTTAGCTGCCATATAGACCCTGGGCACTGAACCTGCGCCCTCTGCACGAACAGTTGTTAATTGCTCAGCCATCTCCAGCCCCCAAACCTTCCTTTTGGTCTTGGGTATCTTTGAGCTATTTGAGGTTTGCAGTGAGGAAGGGTTCCCTGCTCTGGGCCGTTTGTTACATCTGCTTATCATGGTCTTCATAAAGCTGTGACTGCTGGGCCATATTCTGAAATGCAATCTGAAGGTCAGTGACTCCACTGTGAGACGATATTTATATAACCTTCACACCATTTCAGCATTTTTAGGAACCCACAATGGCAATAGCGCACTTTGTACAGACTTTTCCATAACAGTTCGGTGGTATTCCTCCACTTTGGTGAAACTTCATCTGTCCAGCTACTTAGTCACAATAGACATCAAAGTCAGGCTCTTCTTACTGTGTCTGTATCCTTCACACCTTTTGTATAACAATAGCTTGTCTTCCTGGGTAGACTTTAGTTCTGTGGGAGGAGCCATAACTGTGTGAGAGAGACATTGCTCGGATTATGATTATCTGGTAAATACTTGAAAGTCAAACTGTTTAAGTGCTAATTTGCATTCTTAATGTTTTAGATTCCCTGAGCTTATTATTGGTTACGAGGTGCAGGATGCAAAATCGTTGCTTTGAAATTTTTTAGATGAGCAACTGCTTAGAAATCTCTAAAAGTAAGTGGTTTCGGTTAAACAGACGAAAATGAGTTTGCAAACGCCTTTACTTACTCGGAGCGGAGCCATGACATGAGGTGATTCCTCGGTGCCGAGCTCTGTGCTGTGAGCCGTGACTGAGCTTCTCCTTGAGGACAGCCCCCTTGCAGTCCCAGCCGTCCTGAGTGATTGCCACCACCTTGTGCTTTCTTCCAGCCATCTATTTCAGAAGCTTGGAGGAGAAGCTGACCCAGAACAAACTCATCTTGAAGGAAGAGTTGAAAACAATGCTGCACTTATGCCAGTCCCAGGAAGACGTGGGACTGGCAAAAAGTGTCATTTACAGGTGAGGGCTTCCTGACGCCCCGCCGGCCTCCATCTCTTCTCACGCCGCCCCTCCCAGAGTCCCAGAGCACACTGTCGCCCCGCCATGGCTTCCAGACATCGTTCCCCGATGCCTGCCTTCATCGATACTTATTTCAGGGTTAGGTGTAGGAATGCAACTCAGAAACTACCATCAGAGTGGCCAGTCCCTGCAGTAACCCATCCTCATGTGATGTGAGACTCTAGGGGAACCCTGACAGCTCCCATGGTGGGTGAGGGACGAATACGCCGTGCAGAGAGAGCAGAATTCACATGGGAAGGAAGTTTTATTGGAAGAAGGGATGGGGGTGGGGGAAGGGGAGAAAGAGAAGAGAGAGAGGGAGACAGGTAGTGAGAAACTGGTCTGCCTCTTCAGAGAAATGGGACTTTTTGCGTAGATTCGGGGGTGGCGCACTCTGTCAGGCCCCCAAGGGGTGGGGCCAGGTTTGCCTGGATGATAACAGTGTGATGCTGACCCCACCATAAAATTACTTTTGTAGATACTTCGTAATTGTGTTATGATACTGTTAGGAATCATAATGTAAATATCTGTGTCTCAAGCAACCCCTGTAAGAAGGTTGCTTGTCACCCCTCAGGGTGTCTCGACTCCCAGGTTGAGAACTCCTGTGCTGGAAGACTTGCCTTGAGTGTCTGGTGTTTGTGTGCTTGACCCTGTGTCCTCACCTTCTCCCTCTGGAGCCGCACTGTTTATTAGCCTGGCGTGAGCTGCACAAGCCCACACAAAATTGAAAGCTCATTGTCTCCTGGTCACCCCAAAGTTGGATGTAGGGAAAGGGACCCCCCCTTCTGGGTAGCTGGGGTGGCAGGCACATATGGAGAACGATGAAAATGATGGGGATGACCTGTGACGCCCACTTGCAAATATTTACACGGTTTTTTCGCAGATTTTTATGCAAATGTTTAATGGTTTGGTAGGTTTTCTTTTATACAGTTGGGGTGGCTTTGTTTGGTTGGTTGGTTGGTTTTCGAGACAGGGTTTTGCTATGTAGCTCAGGCTGGACCTGCCTTGAATGCACAGTTTTCTTGCCTTGGTTTCCTGAGTGCTGAGTGAGATTGCAGACATATGTCACCACACTCAGCTCCTTTTAGTTCTACTATTTAGATAGTTTAGTTATTACTATCTGGAAGATAGTGTTCGCTGAATTAATACAGCACACTTTGTTCTTATTTTTCATATATTAAGGAACCATATTTTAGTGACACTACAGTATTTGTCTTTATTTAGTTAGGGTTTCTATTGCTGCAATGAAACACCATGACCAAAAGGCAAGTTGGGGAGAAAAGACATTATTTGGCTTACACTTCCATATTGCTGTTCATTATTGAAGGAAGTCAGGGCAGGAACTCAAACAGGGATGGTAAGTGCTGATACAGAAGCCATGGAGGGCAGCTGCTTACTGGCTTGCTTCCCATGGCTCGCTCAGCCCACCTTATAGAATCCAGGACCACCAGTCCAGGGATGACACCACCCACCATGGGTTAGGCCCTCCCCGGTTGATCACTAATTCAGAAGACGTCTTACAGCCGTATCTCATGGGGGCATTTCCTCAACTGAGGCTCCTTCCTCACTGATGACTCTAGCTTGTGTCAAGTGGACACACAAACCAGCCAGTGCAACATTCCACCATACATTAGGTCTTGAAATCAACTTTGCCCTGTTAGTAGACATCTAGATTAGCACAACCAATGTCGTGGTAAGTAGCTCTAGAAACCTTAGCTACTCTGTGTTTTGGGTCAAAGAGTATATTAGTCAGTTTTTCCTGACAAGTGGGAGTGATGTAAACCCCTCATAACCTTGCTCCAGTGCTGTTTGGTTTAAGGGAAGAGTCTAGATCCTTCTGTTGGCATTAACTTTTGCTTTCTGTTTTTAATCTTATACCCCTTTCTTGAGTACTGAAATATATAGGTTTTGAAGATGCCTCACATGTTATAATAACTAACATTAAGGAATTGCTGCGCGCCAAGCAAAACTTACACAGTACTTCTCAGATGAGGAGGAGAACCTCTAAATGATTTATTGATTTTCTTACGGTTACATAGTTTACAGGTAGAAGAGCTAGATCGGAACCATCATACTGAAGCAATCAAAAGTCCTTAGTCATTACACTTTCTTTCTTGTCCTTGATAACTCAGTTCTCAAGCATTATAACGAAGCAGGTCACATATTTACTGCTAACCATATTTGGCAGTGTGTGTGTTTATAACACCCAGCCCTAAGTCATTCCAGCTTTCCTCTGTTGTTTCAGTAGAAGGTGGAAGGTTTTCTAGTAAAGGCCGACTTTTATGCTGGTATTTTAAAGTCATTTACATCATGAAAATGTGACGTGTGTGTGTGTGTGTGTGTGTGTGTGTGTGTGTGTGTGTGTGTGTGTGTGATCACGTGCCTAAAACAACAATGGATGGTTACTGAAAGTCAGTTTGTGTTGGTCACCTGTAGAACTTATGCCACCTAGTAAGATGTCACTGCCATTAAAAGTGGCCTTCTCCCAGGACTTAAAATTTCAAAGTGCATTTAATCTCTTTTACCTGGGTGGCTGTAGCTCATGCCGGCCTTTACCTGAACTCAGAGAAGCAGAGGTTAATGTAAGTTAGTGTGCTTTTGGTTATGTGACATTCTATGTGAGGGGCACAAAGCCACCTCCTAAAGAAGCAGGGAACACCTCCAAGGACCTTTTCTGTGTTCTGTAGGGGAGGTCCATTCTTAGGCGACCCTGCTGTTCTGTAACATGCTTATACATGTTCTCAGCCCAGCAGGTAGTTGCTTAATTTAGGGGATGATTACAGTGTGTGTTTTACTTCTCTTGATTTTAGAGTATTTGGCCTCTAACAAAACCCTTTGTTTCAATGCCCAGCATATTAAACTCTGGAACCCCTGATAGTATTCAAAAACCTGTTTCTCTTAAACTGGGAGGTCCTTATTCTTTATTGTGTTCCCAGCACCTAGTACTGAGTACACACTATGGTTTGTGTCTGTCCTTTGGGTATGTGTAATATGTGTGTGTTCGTTCATTTATGTGTACCTGTGCATGTGAGGTGCATACACATGGTTAGAGGTCACAGATATCTTCCTCAGTTGCCCTAAACATTGCTTTTTGAGACTAGATTTCACTGAACCTGGAGCTCGATAATTGACTACTCTGGCTGTCCAGTAAGCACCGAGACTCCTCCTATCCCCATTCCCTGACATTGGAGTTCCGGGTGCATGCTACGAAGCCTGACTTTTATGTGTGGGGGCTGGGGATCCAAACTTGGGTCCTTCTACTTGCTAGTTGAGATCTCTACTCATTCCTGTGTCTGTTCTTGCTATACCATGTATCTTTGCTCATAGAATAATCTTGATCACCAGGTACCATGCAGAGAACAAAAACTTCACTGTGGGGGAATACAAGTTTGGACCAGTTTTCATGAGGTTGTGTTATGAGTTGGATCTTGAGGACTCTGCAGTGGAGCTCATCAAAGACAAGGTTAGTGTCTTCCGGTTCCTTCCTCTGCCTGTGATCTGGTGTTCTTGGTGCTGTTAGAAAAGATATCTCTCTATGCCATCTGGTTTCCTGGGTTTCAAGGAAAGGCCACTGAGCTGAATAAATAAGCTCTCTGCTTTTCAAGTGTACCCTTAGTGTTGGCTCTTTGGAGGGTTAGCTGATGCTCATATATGTGTTGTGTATATACTTTGAACGTGTGTGGTACCGAAGGTCATGTAACCTGTCTTAGGAGTTAAGAGGCGAATAGTTAAAAAGCAGCCATTAATTTCCTATCCTGCACCTCTCTCTCTTGTTTTTTGTGTTTTTTATTTTTGATTGAAGACTGTATTTATAACTGGCAAGTTATATTCTGATTTTCTTCTTTTAAAAATTCAACAAAATTATGCACATCATGGTAACTCAATAGATAAAGGCACTTGATTTTTTTTTTTTTTTTTTTTTTTGTTGTTTTTTTGTTTTGTTTTTGTTTTGTTTTTGTTTTTTTAGTTTTTTTGAGACAGGGTTTCTCTGTGTAATAGCCTTGGCTATCCTGGAACTCGCTCTGTAGACAAGGCTGCCCTCAAATTCAAAGAGATCCACCCGCCTCTGCCTCTTGAGTGCTGGGGCTAAAAGTGTGCACCACCACTGCCCGGCTAAAGGCACTTTCCATGTTAGCGGGAGCTGAGTTCACTCTGTAGAACCCATGAAGATGTGGAGGGGGAGAATCAGGTCCACACAGCTGTCCTCTGGCCTCCATGCAGTACCATCACACATACATACATACACACATACATACACACACACACACACACACACACACACACCAAATATAAAAATGTTTTTAATTACTGAGTATTTGCTGTATCTTCAGCCCTTTCCCACAGTTGTTATTCTTATGTAATTATTATTCCCACAACAGCCCAGTCACAGGTGTGATTATTATTTCTGTCTCACAGAAGGTGGAGCTATGCCATTAGAGGCATTATAAATTTTTCCATGGCCATGGGCCTGTGTCCGCTGTGTACAGTTTAGGAACTCCAGAGTGAAATGATTTGGCGTTACTTCCTACTCTCTTTCATTTAACGCGTTCTTTACTAATGGAGCTAGCCCTTTTTATTTGAGACGAGAAACCCAGGCTATCCTCAAGCTTGCAGTCCCGTCCCGTCTCTTCCCCCCCCCCCCCCCGTCTCAGCCTCCCAAATGGTGTGATTACAGATATGTACCACCATGCCTAGCCTAGCATTAGGGTTACCCTTCTTTAAGAGCATTATGTATTAGGAAGATGGTCATAAGTGTTCAAGAACAGTTTCAACATTTGATCTTGTCTTCTACTCTTAAAAAAAGAAAGAAACACATGCAAGGGCTGGAGGAATACTCAGTGGATAAAGTGCTTGAAAGGGACCTGCGTTCCTCCCCAGAACCCGTATTTTTAAAAAGCCCAGCGTGGCTGTTTGTCCTTACAGTCATAACACCAGGGAAGTGGAGATTTGTGGATTCTTGGGGTTCATTGGCCAACCAGCCTAGCCCACTTGTGAGTTGCAAGCCAATGAGAGACTCTGCCTTAAAAACAAAAGATGTGAATAGTAACTAAGAAATGGTATCCAAGGTTGTTCCCTGGCCTTCACATACACTGGCATATATGTGCACCCATAGTGACACATACATGATTACATTCTTGTGTGTGTGTATTAAAACTTGGAAGGCAAATGGTGTCTTTAAGGTTAGAATTATTAAAACCTCACTTTTTCGTGTTAGTAAATATTTTAATGTTAAAGTTTCAGCTATGATTGTGACAGTAGAAACAAAATGTAAATTTAAACCTTGCATGTGAGACCCATGTGTAATAGAGGCAGAGTGACGTGAGTAAGGGTGGAGGACTCGCCGTGCTCTGTGACAGTGTTTTGTCCCCTCCACTGCCACTGTCATTGTTCTCTGGAGCCCCCAGTGGTGACGGAGATTGTGGCTGTCTTGTTTACGTCACTGCTCTAACCCCCTTGCTCTCCTTCCTGCCGACTTGAACCTCAGCTCTCCACACTGCAACCCAACCAGCACTCAGAGCAGACCTTGTCCTGTTCTCCATCCCATATTCTCAGCATCTAGGATCTGCATGGTACTTAGAAAGAACAAAGGAGAAAAGCACTAATGACATCTAAATATCATGTCACACTGTGTGTGGCCTTCAGAATGCTGGGGAGATGTTATAGAGAGAGACTGGTCAGTCAAAGGTTATACAGATGATGTAAAAGAATTGAACTTCTAAAACATGGTGGTTGTGGTAACGATATATTCTTTAAAAATTAGGAAGAGAATAGCTCTTAAGTTTCTGTGTGACATAATACATGTTCCCTGACTTAGCTATTCTGCTAATGTCATTTAAAACCAAATATAATGAGATAAGTACACAGATGTTTTTGTCTATTAAACTAAATGTAAGTCAGAAACAAGGTTGAGGGCTGCTGTTTTAGCAGATGATTTTCAAATGGGAGCAACTCTGTATTATGTGCTTCTGACGACTACAGTTCTGTGAGACATTCTTCCCTTCATTCGAAAATCAACTTGCCGCTGCCATTTGGTATTGCCTGATTGTCCAGTACTCACAACACCGAGAGCTCTCTTGCTTCTTGTCCAGTGTGTCCATTCCCAAAGCTGTAACAATGTTTAAAAGTGAAGCTTTAAAAAATCCTTCTTACACCAGACTAATAGGGGATTCAGGAAGTCACAAAATAAAAACCTGTAGAGCAGAGATTCTCAACCCATGGGTTCCAACTCGACTCTTTGCTTGGCTGAACGATTCTTTGACACAGGGGTAGCCTAGGACCATCAGGAAACACTGATATTTACATTACAATTCATAACAGTAGCATAATTATAGATATGAAGTAGCAATAAAATAATGTTATGGTTGGGGTCAGCACAACATGAAGAACTGTATTCAAGGGTTGCAGCCTTAGGAAGCTTGAGAACCACTGCTAAAAAGATACAGGCCCTATGCAGTGGTTCATGCCTTTAATCCCAGCACAGGGACACAGAGGTTGCTGGGTCTGTATGAAGAACATAGTGAGTTATAAGATAGCCAATATTACCTCGTGAGACCTGGTCTAAAAAGGAAAAAAAAAAGAAAAAGAAAAAGAAAGGGATACAGTTTGTGGCATCCCCCTTAATAGTTTTAACTTTTGACCACTTTCTCTTCACTAGCACTTACGAGGTTTTTTCCCAGACTCCACATCATTCAATATTTTGATGGATATGTTGTTTACCAAAGGCAAATATGAAAGTAAGTACTACAGTCTGTGGTTGTGGAAAACCGTACTGGAAAAGCAGCTGGGGTGGGGAGGGCCATAGAAGTGACTCCTAGGGCCCTGTTGAAGTGTCCCCCTGTGACCTCACTCCTTAGATGTGAAAACATCCAGTTGCATATGATGGCTGAAGTGAGCCACCTCAGATTATCTGAAACCTTAGCAGGGTTTCCATGCTTTCTTCCTGCATGACCTGAACAGTTAGATCATTGCTATTTGACTTTGAGGAATGGCTTTTACCATGCTAAAATCTGCTTTTTGGTAGCTGTTCCTGAACTGATTAGGACTTTGGGAACTGCCCCTAGGTGCCTTTAACCCTGCTGGCCACTGTTCACTTGGCAGGTGCCCTGGAAGTATTGATTGAAATGAAAAACCAAGATGTGAAGTTCAGCAAAGACACTTACATCCTTGCTTTTGCAGTTTGCTACAAACTGGTAAGACCATTCCCCCTAACTCACAGGACATTGGGAATCGAATAGTATTTGGGAGAGGGTTTATTTCCTTCCTTCCTTCCTTCCTTCCTTCCTTCCTTCCTTCCTCCCTTCCTTACTTCCTCCCTTCCTCCCTTCCTCCTTCCCTCCCTTCCTCCCTTCCTTTCTTCCTCCCTCCCTATCTCCCTTCCTCCCTCCCTCCCTTCTTTCCTTCCTTCCTTTCTTCCTCCAGTTCCTCTGGAGTCTGTTTTCCATCTGGTGCAAACATTTTAATTTTAAATGGACCCATTTTTAGAAAACTCAAGTTAGCCTTGTCAGATATTTTTATCATGGGAAAAGCAATCATCTTTCGCCTCTCCTTGGCAAGCATGTAGATTGTGAAAACAAGAGACAAGTTTCTGCTGAGCTCTGTAGAGTCCCCGGTAGGTTAGGCTATACTAGATCGTCTTCACAGTTGCTTTCCTCTGGAAATCATCTCATCCTTCTGGGGCAGACTCCGCATATGATTGCCGACATGTATTCTTTTTTAATATTACTATGATTTTATGCATACAAGTGCTTTGTCTGTAAGCGTGTCTGCACCATACGCATGCCTAGTGCCTGTGGATGCCAGAAGAGGGTGTCTGATCTCACGGAACCAGAGTTACAGATAGTTGTGAACCGTCGTGTGGGTGCTAGGAATTGAAGCCCAGTCCTCTACAAGAGCAGCCAGCGCCCTTACCCACTCAGCCATCTCTTGGGCCCTCTGTCATGTAGTCTTAACTTTTGTTTACACACCTTTATAAACCTTTAAACCACCTTTAGCTGCATGATAGAGTTGGCCCAAGGGCTATGCTTGCTGATGCCAGGATACTATAATTCTTTCCAGTCGTCCAGCGCTAGAATATGGGTTCTTCTGAATGGTGGTTCCTGCACAGGCATACCTCCCGGGGTGCGTGCTGAAGTAGGGAGAGTCTAGTTCTGTTTCCTAAGAGGCCCACACCATGTTTTTTCCTGTGTTGTAGCCAAGACTGCCTTGTCTCATTAAGTGGAGACGACAAGTTTGGGAGGAGCTGCGGAGGTTCCCAGTCACCCTGGCAACTGCCCCAGCCCACATGCATTCAGACTCTGTTCAGAGGATTGAGTGGTGAGCCTGGCTTCTCAGACACACAGATGTGGGGCTGGGGCTGCCGCCGCCATTGTAAACCCATCCAGCTGTGGCGGCTGAGAGTGGGAGACTGGGCTTATGTTGCTGCCTGGACGATTAGTGCATCCCTTTCTTGGATTTAAAACTACATTTGCTTTTTTAGACATATTTATTTTACTTTATATGTATGTAAGTATGTGTACCACGTGTGTTCTGGTGTTGGCAGAGGTCAGAAGAGGGCCTCAGCTCACCTGAACTGGAGTTACAGATACGTGTGTGGGAACTGGGAAGTGAACCCTGGTCCTCTGCGAGAGCAACAAGTGCTCCTAACTGCTGAACCATCTATTCAACCCCCTGGGATTTTCTTTTTAAGTTTCTGTTTTCATGGCATTCTCCTATAACCTATGTTACATTAGTGTTAAGTATATGGCTTATCTGGAGAGTTCAAGCTGGAACTCCCCCAAAGGTAAGTCACCTGTGTTACAGTGCTGCTCAGCTAATAGTCGGCTGACTCCATTGGGGGGTTTGTGCTTAGAAACTAGCCTGCCTGCATATAAAGAAACCTAGGTGTTTACAACTGGCCTACGGTGGGAATGGACAAGCTGAACAATAAAGTTAATTTAGAGGTGAGCTGCTACCATAGACATAGCTCAGTCTGTTTGCAGATGCTCTCTGCATAGCTTACTTTTTTCTTTTATTTTTGAGAGTATAACATATCATTTCCTCTTCCCTTTCCTCCCTCTAAATCCTCTCATATGCCCCTCCTTGCTCCCTTTCAAATTCATGGCTTTTTTCCATCAGTTGCTGTTGTGTGTGTGTGTATATATATACATGCATATGTGTGTGTGTATATACATATATATCCCTCAGTACAGCCCACTCAGTCTGATTGTTACTTACATGTATGTTTCCAGGGCTGACCATTTGGTATTGAATAGCCACTTGGTGTGCTCTCCCCTGGGGAAGACTGTCCCTCCCATCTTCAGCTCCTTAGGTACCTGAGCTTTTTGCGTGGGGTTGAAGCCTGTGATCTTTCTCCTGTCCACGTTGTCATGTCTGTTAAGCTTACTTTTTCAAGTGACTTCGGGTAGGCTCTGGGAAATTCTTACAGAAGGAAATCTGACGTGCTAAGCTCTGTTAATCATTACACTTGAAGATTCGTGGTATTGACTGGGCAATCCCATCTCCTCACAGAATAGTCCGGAGTCTTTTAAAATTTGTACAACTTTAAGAGAAGAAGCCCTAATTAAGGGAGATGTCCTCCCCAGGAGAGCGTCATGTTTTGCGGTGGCGTTAGCTCTGAACCAGGTAAGGCCTTGGGGCAGAGGGAACTCCCGCCTTACTGCTTTCGTTTGTTTTTGTTTTCATTTATTTTTTCCCTCCTAACTGTATTGTAAGGAAACCCTGTAATGAAAGCAGTGCCTTCATTGCCACTGCAATTTGTAGCTATACCTAGGCCTGTAAAGAATGTTTTTGTGAGTAGCTGAAGACCCAGCATGCATTTCTATTTAGAGTAGGTGGGCCAAGATCTTGGGCAGAATCAGAGAAGGAAGCTACAGTCTGAGAGAAATAACCTTGTTACAGTAAGGATGGCACAAGCTTCCTTTGTAGCATTCTTGAGAGCATTTTACATTAGAAAGAGCTCTTGGCTCAACCTTGCTAGTTAGACCCATCTGCCAGTGTTTAGTGGAAGCCTTACCGTTCCCTTAGTCCCTTATCCCCTTCTTGACGAATGAAGCAACCAGGGCCCAGGAAAAAGGGTGAAATCCCTGAGGTTGGTCTCAGTGAGGGACACAGTACTGGAATGTCTGCCATCTTAAAGAGCCCCACCTCTGAGATTCACTCTTGGAAGGCCCAAAATATATGAAATACTTCACACATTTGCCGTGTGGCAAATGAAAGCCTCATGGTAGAGAATTCTAACTAATGTAAGTTATTACCAACCAGCAAAACAAGGCTGAGGAGCTCTTGCTTAAAACTAACTGGAATAGGTACTTAGAACTGAAGGGTGATCAGTTTCTTAATGTCAGGGAAGGCTTAAGGGGATGCACTCCCGCCAGGCACCAACTGCGCGTGATCACTTCTGGCTTACCAGCTTTCCTGTCTGTCGGGGAAGGTGTCTCACATCTCCCCACTCTGTAAGGGGCCGAGTGACATGTCCCCAGTTTTTATGTAGCTCTTGCAGTGTTCCTCTTACGAAGCATAAGCCATCCCATCTGAGCTCAGATGAACCCTCCTGTAGTCTTTGTGACTCTCAGTGGGATCAGCACAGGACTCTCCTTGGTCGTAGAGATCTCGTTTCTGACTTCAGCCTTGTCTGACAGCTTCTCTGCTGCCTTTGTTTCTGTTATCTGTTCATTCTAATCACGTTTGCATTTGTGTACCCGTCCCGTTTTAACCCTTTTATTTGAAGTCTTTCTGAATGCAGAACCTCAACTTGCCTTTATAATAATGACACTAGTCTTTCTTAATCTGTTTGCATTCATACGACACGAATGATCTTGGGTGGAATTTCATTTATGCCTTGTAGTTTCACAACTTAAAATATGGCATATGGTGTTTTTTTTTTTTTTTTTTTTTTTTTTGATGGTTTCTACTCCTGCTGTACTGGTTACTTTTAAAGCAAAGTTGTCAAGTTTGCGGATGAAGCGGGGTAAGTGCTTGAAGAAGGACAGTGACTTTCGTGCTGTTTGAAAGGGGAGGACAGAGGTTTTCTGCAGGCGGTTTGCTCGGTTTGTAGACACCGGGTGTTTAGCCAGGGAGGCAAACCGGAACCAAGAGGTGGGGGCATTTCTCTTCTTATGTCCCCCGTGTTTCCTTATAGCTACTCTGCCTCAGTAACACTGGAGTCCTGAGAAATTCTCTGTATTGGGACTTTACCTTTTGTCGTGAACTCTGGAGACTTGGATGGAAAGGCCAGTCTGAATGGGGCTTGGCACAGCCTCAGCTAGGCTAGGGTCACTGTCACAGGTGACCTGTCCTCCCTGCTGGTTACTTCAAAGCCATGTCATATCTCAGTTTCCTCAATCTAATTCCTTTGACAACAGCTGCCAATAGTGAAGTTAATGACGTTTCTCTTTATTCCTCTTTCTTCATCTCCGTCATGGGGTTTTAGGTGATATACTACCTCTTGTATTATTTGCCCTTCTCTTAAATATACCCAATTTGTCAACTTTAAATAGGGAGTGCATGAGAGGAAGTGGGCACTGTATTTGAGTTTCTTGTGCTCTCGTTCTCCTTTGTGCAGTATAATTCCTTCCTCCCCAGGTGCACAGCATCGTACTGTTCTGTAACCGTATTCTCTGCATGGTTGTGCGCTCCTCTACAGCGAGGCAGACTGTTGTTTGTTGCCATGGCTTGCTATTCTGCATTCTCTCCTTTACCTACAATGCGCCTTCTGATAAGTTCTTCCAGCAAACACACTACCTGAGTTCTTGCCGTTTTAAGTTATTTATTTTTGTACTTATCCTACAGTCTCGCCAGATTTAACGTTTTGACATAGCACTTTCCTTGAGATTTTTTGTTTGTTTTTGAGCTTTGGTCTCTTGTTGTATGTCTTGCCCCACTGATGTGGAGAACCCTGCTTGATTTCATTTCTATCGCTCATCTTTCTCATTTTTATCCTCCGTATGCATGAGCACATATCATACCGGCGTGTCCTCTACTAATCATTTTCTCAGTTTTTGTTTTATTGAGTCCCTTTCCTCTTATTAAAAACAAACAAACAAACAAAACTCTTTACACGGTTCTTACGCTGACTCTCTTTTGATTACTCATCCCTCAAAAATACAAATTTCTTTTTGAACAGCATTGACAGTAAGTAAATTCATGTCAGAGAGACAGAAAGAGCCGAGGCCTAATCCAGGTGGGCAGGCTTTCCTTTGTAGAACAACCCCATGCTGAAACCTGCAGTCCTGTATACGTATGCACACGCTTGTCTCTCCCTGATCTACAGGATTGTAGGATGCAGCCTCTGCTGCTATATAGGCACACTGCCTTCTTCTGTGAGTTGAGCTTGCCATGAATGTCCTCACCACTCACCTCTGCCTCCCGGGGGTCCCCAGTTTGCCCCTTACCTGACTCGTCACTGCAGGCTGGCACTTAGGTCATGGACTCTGGGTTGTGCTGGTGGAGAAACCCCTCCTAGAACCTAGAACATGGAGCCCCTTTCTGTAATGTGTTAGACCTCTGCCTGCTTCCTCCTCAGCTTTGCTGGGCTCCATCTCCAAGAATTCTGACACTGTACCCACATCGTGTCTGGTTTGAGGCTCCACTAATTATGCCAGTGATGAGGTTTGCTTTCTGTTTCCCATTGTCATTTTTCATTAAAGCTGGTTCCAATAGGAGAGGGAAAATGCCTTCAATGCCTCCATCTTAAAAACCAGACTCAGAGAGATTGCTAAAACATAGGGTAGGTACCACGCCGCTGAGTAAAACCCTTAATATAATGTTTGTTTAAGTGTGGTTATTTAAAAAAATCCTATTGTTGATGTAACATTCTGAGGCCCCGTGCTTTCTCTAAGTGATGTGTAGGAGAATGGAGTGATGGCTGCGTGCTGTAGAGTATGACTTTTGTTTTTCCTTCCAGAACCAAGTGGAAAAAGCCATGTCTATTTTTTCTCAAATCATGAATCCAGAGAGTATAACCTGTGCTAACTTAAACGTAAGTGACTTCCTTGGAGTTTAAAATGAGCTGAAATGTGGTAAAATGTCTGCTGTTTTTGTCTGTGTGCAGTGATTGTCTAGTGTTGTCATTCAGTTCAAAAGAATAGTCATTTACCAAACTTGCCTTTGGGAAGAGCCAAGAGATAAGTCAACGGTGGGTGCAGGGGTCTGTTCCGGTGTACGGTAGGGCACCAAACATTTGAGGCACAGCTGAGACGGCTGTAGGTCTGGGAAGAGGGAGTGCTTGGACTTGCCAGAGTCTTCCCAGGCCCTGGGAGAAGCTGTGTGCCCACTGCATCCTACCTCCTGTGGCGTCTAACTTGCCGCATGCTTGTGACTGGTGAGCTCTGTATGTGCCGTCTTAGTTAGGGTTTCTACTGCTGTGAAGAGACATCGCCACCACAGAAATTCTTATAAAGAGAGCATTTAATTGGGGTGGCTCACTTACAGCTGCACTCATTCAGCCAAGATGTGTGAAATACTCAAACTGAAAACAAAATTTTCTTCCAGATCACTAGGTACATTTTAGTAATTAAAAATCACAGCAAATCCTGTAACTACTCCTAGTTTTTGAGCAGTGAGTCAACTAAGGCCTTTGGACAAATGGAAACAAAGACTGTTTTGTCTTTAAAGAAAGCACAGCCTCCACTCAGCCAGCCCTTGCCTGTGCACTGAGTATGTTTGTGCTGCGTGAAGTTGTGAAAGGACAAGCTCCCAACTTTTCCTAACAATCTGTTTGTTTTATGTGTATGAATGTGTTGCCTGTATGTATATAATGTGCTCCACGTGCATGCCCAGTGCCTATGGAGGTCAGAAGAGGACATCAGATCCCCTAGAACTGGAGTTAACGGGTGTCTGTGAGCTACTAGGAACCAAACCTGGACCCTGTGCAAGAAATATAAGTGTTACGAGCCCTTCAAGTTCCCAACTCTCGATGTCTTGTTGTCTTCTAATACAATCCAGGGGTTAAGCTGAGGAATACTCCTTTTTGAACTAGAAATATGTAAGCAGCAGTGTGACATGAACTGGACCACAACCATGCCGTGGGTGTGCTGAGATGGGGGAGTGAAGAAGGGCACTGCCGGGCTGCAGAGCAGCTAAGGAGACTGAAGGAGATCTGCTGAGGTTTGGGCCGAGGCATTCCTATTGGCTTGCGTATTTGGTTCCCATCTGGGGTGCAGCGTTAGGGGCAGTGGGCCCTTTGGGACTCTAGCCTCAGTAATACAAGTGCATCAGTGGAGGTTGTACCTTGAAGGTGCCGTCTGCTCTGGTTCCCGCCTGAGCTCACCCAGACCCAGCCGGATGGAAGAGCTTCTGTCCCTAGCCTCTGCAGCCAGCCGGGCCTGACCCTGCCCCCACGCCCTCCTCCCTTCGTTTGCTTCTGTCGGCTGTTTTTTCACATGGCAAGCAAAGTGACGTATCAAGTCAACTGTGGGACAGTGCTCTGGAGGACAGGCTATGGGGTCGGAGGGATGTAGTTGGGAGCACAGTGCTTCCCACAGATTGCTTTTGGTGAGGGTTACAAGGCTGATTATAGCCTCCTCCTACTAGCTCTGACCCAAGGGGGTCCAGTCCGTAGGATTCTTTAGGCTTTGTGTCTGTGAAAGCTTACCTAGTTCTGAAAGCCCTGTAGGTACAGGGGGGCCTCCGAGGGTAATTCCTATGGGCAGAGCTCTAGTTACTACCTGTAAGTGGTCTCGTTTCCTCAGAAGCTTGGAGCTCCGCCTCGATCCCACTCTAGGACTTTCTACAAAAAGGCTGTTATTAACTTAGCATTGAACACTGACTGCTTCCTTCCCCAGGCTAACTGCTTCGTATCCATTTCATGCCCATTCCTTCCTTCCGTCATCACAACAAGAGGACAGCTATTACTGTTGTCTTCTTGGCTCCCATTAGATCTGGGCGTGTCCAGGTGCATATCTGCTTCCTAGAAAGTGAGTGCAGATGCACTCATTTCCTGATGGGCTGTGAGAGTTGCTGGAACTAGGAAGGAACTCTCCCACTGACCCCAAAGCTAGCCAAGTGGCTGTATTAGGAAGAAAAACTATGCAGGAGCACGCGGGCAGAGATGCGGTGCATGAGTAACTGCTGGCTTTCCCTAGAGTAGAGATGGCGTTGGTGGGAAGCTGAAGAAGGTGAGATGGGCAGATTTTAGTTTAATTTTAGCTAAGGTACCAGATTAGACACCTTGTGATTTGTTAGTTTTGTAGGGTCCTGTTGGAACACGGTTACCCTGTGGCACAGACTGGACAGGGATGATCCAGGACAAGTAAACTGCCAAGTCCTCACAGAGCAGTAGGCAGGAGAGCCAGTGTTTTTTAGCACAGACAACTGACTAGAAAGCCCTGGTCTCTCGCCCCTCTGGGGAGAAGAGACCCGTGAAGATAGGAAGGAAGGCTGTGCCTGTCATCCGGGCCTGGGACTCACTACTGCGCAGTTGTGGGCTGACAGGTACGACCCACTGCCAGTGCAGGCGGCCCATTCTGCGGGCGTAGGTTTCTGCTCATGCCTGTCCCTCACAGTTGTTACAGAAATGTAGTGATTCCTTTTTCCAATAGAAAGTGTTTCTGTGGGGTACACACGCGTTGAGCCTGTTGAGGGTGGGGAGAAATGTGTCCACGCCCTGTGGCTGGCGTGTGGGGCACATGCACTTGCAAGGCAGCTTCTGTTCCCTGACGTGGCAGGAAAGCCAGGCAGCACACAGTAGGGCCACCGTGTGTGGTTAAGGATCACACATAAGGAACCTCGAAGTAATGTTAAATCTGATTCTCTTTGTGAATGCGGTCAAGGAACTATCCACTACTAGTGAGAACCTTGAATAAAAAAAAGTCATATTCTTTAAAAAGCCCCACCTTGGGAAGCTTGCAAATGTCCTATCTAAATTCCCGGTGTCTCATCATAAACCTGTTTCTTCATCCTCTGGGGTGATGAGAAAGAGACGATTTGCATTGAGGAGGCGTTCAGATTCCGTGTCTTTTACTAGCCCAAACTTTTTAAAATGACATAATAAGCTTCTGCGTTTCCAAGGCAGTCATCTACTTGGAATCCGTAAACAGTTTGTTAACCTGACAAATGGGCTGACAGAGTCTGTTGAGTCAATATTAGGAAAAATAGATGAAATTCCTTTTTCTTGGTCTATTTTAAAAATCAGTGTCTCATATTAAAACCTTTTGCTACTGTGCATTAGAATGTAAACTTACCTAACCCTCCCCAACTTAGTTTTCTTCTTATCTGAATTGCTTCCGCTGCCTGTGTGACCCAGAGGAGCTGGTTTCTTATTCGCCCAGCTGATACTTGCTGCACCCTGCATTCATTTAGTCTATGAGCTCATCAAGACACATGCATGTTGACTCTAGCCTGCCAGACTCAGAAGGAACCACGAGCTTCCATTGGCAGTGCCTCTCAGCATCACAGACAGGAGGGTTTCCACTCCCGGAAATATCTGAAGACCACAGAGGCCAGCGCAGGGCAACTTTGTGATTGCGTTTGGATTCCTGACATTTCTCTAGAAATCTGGAAAGACTTTAGAGTCTCGCTTGGAACAGACTTTACCTTGCAAAGGTGTTGACAAGTGGTTAGTTTGCCCTCTGCTCTCATGTATTTGTTAGGACTGGTGAGTGTTTTAATGTTCTGAAATTGTAGCTCATCCTGTTCTTCAGGACCAAAGGTAACCCCTGCCTCGATGAGCTGCCTGCCTTGAGATTTGTTTGTCCTCAGGAGTCCCACTGTTGGAGTCTGGGCCCTTAGTGTGATAAGAATCGGTAGGAGGCTGTTAAGAGGTGGTGCCCAGATGAGGCTCCATCCTTATGTGAGGAGCTGTTGGCAATTAATGGCATCTAGAGAATGCAGATTCATTTTTCTTCAGGAGCATAGCCACTGTAAGCTACCTGTGAGCTAGTAAATAAGCCATGAGTGTGCAACCCTAATTACACTCAGCTATTTTTTAAAAGGACAGGAAAGTAGGAGGGGGTATGCACGGGCAGAAGAGAAGGGAATGAAAGGCTGGGTGTGATCAAAGTTCATTATATACATGTAGGAAATGGTTTTAAAGACACGTTTTTTTTTAAAGTGGGAAGAATAAAAAGGGGGTGCCTAGAGGATGGTACTGGGGGGTGCTCCCAGGAGGGATGCTGGTAGTTGTAAGGATGTTCTAGACACCTAGAGGATGGTACTGGGGGTGTGCCGTCAGGAGGGATGCTGGTAGTTGTAAGGATGTTCTAGACGCCCAGTCAGGCCCCACCATCTGCTCCCTGGTTTCCTCTTTGAGATAGGATCCTTGCTTCCGCACATGCTCACTCGTTGCCACCTGCCATGGTATGACTCAGGTGAGCATGCCTTCCTTGGCTGAACTCAGGTTGGTTCTGTGCCCTGTAACTTTAGAACTGTAAGTGAATTACCTTCTTTCCTTCTGTTGTAACAGTAAAAATCCAAGTACTAAAAGAGCTGTTGGAAACAATACAGCTAGTTCAGTGTGGAGGAGGAAACACTGCCCTTCTTCAAAGGCTTTAAAAGTGTTTATTCCTTTTGGTTTAATAATTTTGAGTTTTAAAACATGACTGGGTTTTGTATTTAAATGTATACACATCAATCACTATAATACAACATGGTAATTACAAATGCATGGCTAATTACTGTGCATTTTTTCAATATGCAATTTTAGTCCAATTATTTCTAGTGTTAAGCAAAAATTATATAGTAACTAGCAAAGGAAAGATCCAGTTTTAGGGGAAATACGTTTTGAAGATACATCAAATTATAAACAGTGGTTAACACTGGTTGGTGAAGTCTCAGTCTCATGTTTTAAAACCTTTCTCTGGGTTTCAGATTGTCCTGGTAAGTACTGATGATTAGAAGGGAAGTGAGCCTTGCTTTTCCATGTGCTGAGTGTGCCAGACTGATGGGAAGGCGCTAGCAGGGCCATTTTGAAAGCTTGGGTTGGCACCCAGCTTTGAAGAGTCTTTAATGGGTGCAGTGCAGACAGATAGGCTTCGCCAGCATCTCAGCCAGCTTGCAGTGCGCTGTAGGTAACTAGCAGATGAGGGGCGCGTTTGCTTGTCATGGCCCTTGATTATGGAGGAAAGAGGGCAGAGGGAATGGATGTTTTCGCGTGTGCCTCCTGTGTGCTGGTATTTCAGTGTTCACTGTGACACACAGTGCAGACTTGGAGATTTTTTTTCCCTCCTCATTTAGCAGATGAGGAAATTAAAAGTGGAGTTTGCAGTTGGAAGTCACAAAGCTGGTGATTGCCAGGGTTTTCAGCCAGGCACCCGGGAGGTGTGTGTGCGCATTGGTTAGAGCCTAACTGTAAAGTTGTTTGTCACCCTTTCTGTGGAATTCAGGAATCAAACTGAGGCTTGTGTGGTAAGCACCTCTGCTCTGTGAGGCATGCCACTGCGCATTGTATAGGAAAGTACATTTTTGATAGTGAGCATGCATGCAAAGCACTTAAAATGTATCTGAGCTAGTGAAATAGGAAATAATATTAAAAACTGGTGTCTACCAGTACAGGCTCATCTCAACATTGAAAAGCCAGCTCAGTCTTGTCTGTTCCTTTATTTAGATTTTGATCCATGTCCGGTCAAATATGCTGGAAAACCTGATAAAGATCTTAGAGGACAATGTTGACAGAAATGTATCCATATTTGTGAAAAGACACGCGTTCTCAGAGGAAGTGGTAAGTGTGCCAGCTGCAGGTGGCACTAAGGGCAAGGACACTCCAGGTAGTCACCGGGTACGGCAGCCCTGAGACCACCTCTTCGGCTGGAGGTCAGGCACAGCGGTCTGTCTCCTGTGCTCGCAGGGGCCGAATACTCAGTGCTCCTGACACGATACGGCTTCTGGGATCCTCAGGGAACTGTCTCCTTCGAGTTGTTCCTTTCTCTGCACTGTTCTTTCCTCTCAAGCATCCAGTACCTTCTCCATGCTCCTCACTCTCAGCTTACCCTTGCTTCCTGTTTGGGGGAGGAAACAGAAACAAGCTGAAGAGAGTGCCTGTCATGGTTACCATGTGTGCTGGTGCCCTCCCTCCCTGTGAGCCTCTGCTGTGGTTACCATGTGTGCTGGTACCTGTGAGCCTCTGCTGTGGTTACCATGTATGCTGGTGCCTGTCAGCCTCTGCTGTGGTTACCATGTGTGCTGGTGCCCTCCCTGTGAGCCTCTGCTGTGGTTACCGTGTGTGCTGGTACCCTCCCTCCCTGTGAGCCTCTGCTGTGGTTACCGTGTGTGCTGGTACCCTCCCTCCCTGTGAGCCTCTGATGTGGTTACCGTGTGTGCTGCCCTCCCTGTGAGCCTCTGCTGTGGTTACCGTGTGTGCTGCCCTCCCTGTGAGCCTCTGCTGTGGTTACCGTGTGTGCTGGTGCCCTCCCTCCCTGTGAGCCTCTGCTGTGGTTACCGTGTGTGCTGGTGCCCTCCCTGTGAGCCTCTGCTGTGGTTACCGTGTGTGCTGGTACCCTCTCTGTCAGCCTCTGCTGTGGTTACCCATGGTGACTGCACATGCCTCTCTCCAGCCTCTCTCTCCAGCATCTCCACTACACATTCTTCTTTCCCTGCTCCTGGACACTGTCACACTTAAGCCTGTAGATATCGACTTCCTTGTGGATCAGTCCTGTCAGCATTATTGTGTATGTTACCTGTCATCTAAAGAAAACAGTTATCCTACACATGAAAAGACACGTGCTGGGCTTAGCTGGGAAAGCTGGATCTTACAAATGCAGTTCTTCCGCACCCACTCCCCCCACCACCCCGAGACAGGGTTTCTCTGTGTAGCCCTGGCTGTCCTGGAACTCGCTCTGTAGACCAGGCTGGCCTCGAACTCCCGAGTGCCAGGATTAAAGGTGTGCACTACCACCACCCAGCTCAGTTCTTCCACAGTTAATATGATAAGGTAATGACCTCAGTAAAAACACTGCTATACTTTTTCTGTGGCTTGCGTTAAAACAAACTAGAAAGCTAGCTTGTTTAAAGGAGGGGATGACTTGAAGATAGAGATTTGCTGTTCTCTTCCTCACCTCTCCGAGTCCTCCCTTCTTATCTCTCACAAGGTCCTGGACTCACTGATCCAGCTGCTCTAGGGACCACTGAGCATCAGAGCTCTGCCTCTCTCTACCCCCCAACTTCTGCTTCTTCCATGGGTGCTAGAGATCAAATTTTAAGTCCTTATTTTTGCAAAGCAGACACTCATTTGGCAAAGCTATCTCCCCGAGCCTCTCCATAAAGTCTTTCCTCACATTTATGTTTTGATATTTTTTACTTTGTGTGTATGTATGGAGTGTGTGGTGTGTGTGTGTATGTATGTGTGTATGAACACACATGTGCCACGGTACATGTGGAAATCATCCAGGTTCTCAGGCTTGGTGACAAGCACCTGCTAAGTCATCTTGCTGGCCCTAAAAATGTGTTTGTGTGTGACAGAAACACCACACAAAGTAAAAAAAAGGTGGGTAACCTTGAAGAAAAATACTTTCAACTTTTAATCACATAACAAGGAGAGTTCTTTTTGAAAATTAGGAGAAAAAAGCCAACAGCTAATACTGAAGAAAGGCGGTGTTCACTCATGACTTGGAATGCCTTTAGGCCATTGGGAAGATGTCAGCCCTAAGAGTGCATTCCTCAGAATCCCCACCGTGAAGGGAGACACACGGCCAAATACATTGCTGTGTTTACATTTAAATTAATGTGGAAACCAAAAATGAAAAAAGTGGCTAAGTAAGGAGCGGAAGTAGGGTTACCCAGAATAGTCTTTGTATATTTGGCTTTGCAACAATAGTAAATGCTTCCCAAACATTAAAATTAAACTGAATGTAAATGAAGAGAAAACAGCAATTAGAAAATTGGAAACAGACGGAAACAAATGAGCTCCTATGAGCACACAGCTGAAGTTACTGCTCATCACTTGAAATGCAGTCACTGTTTAAAAAGCTTCATTTATTGCTTGTGTGTGTCCGGGTGTCCCTCTGAGTTTATGTGCACCAAGTGTACCAAGTGCCTTCAGAGGCCAGAGGACATCAGATCTCCTGAAAGGGGATTCCAGTAGATTTTAAGCTACCTGAAGTGGGTCTAGAAACTGAAGATGGCTCCTCTGTCACAGCAGGAAGCACCCTTGGCCACCGAGCCGTCTCTCCAGCCCCAAATGTAGACATATATACCTCCAGTAACAAACGTGGGGAGGGGGTAAAGATTGCCATTAGCAGTCCTACTCACACGGCCATTTGTTCTGACCAGGTGGCCTGCAGGTTCCTCCTCCTTCCTTGCTCCATGTTCCTGTGCTTTGCCAGTTCTGGTCCAGGCTGATGTCTGAGTTGGCAGCATAGGCGCTAGGGAGCAGGTGATACTTTCCTCCTCCTCATGCACATCCTGGCTTTCCCACCTGTTTCCTGGCTTCCGCCCGTAGCCTTCTTCCTGGTGGTAAGGTGTTTCAGGAATCTCACTGGGCATGATTGGCTTCTTCTGTTAGAGGTCTTCACTCACCTGGGTCGTGATTTTCCCCAGACCATGTTGGAGTAACTTTAAAAAGCAGAGGACTTGGAGATATGAACACACTGTAGAGTGCACAGCTGTGCATCTGTGTGCTGGAGATCATGTGTGTACATGTGTGCGCACTCACATGTGTGATAACAATGTCGATGCAGCTTCCGCTTTTCCTGGTAGTTTATTTTAATAAGTCATTTATGTCTGAAGCATACAGATAAGACTGTCACTGGAAATTCTGACCTAAGACTCTTTCACTTAGAGAACTCAGCCTGTGCTTTAACCTGTCCCCTCTGGTTACTGTGAGACGCACAGTTTGATGAGAAATGTGACTCGCACAACTCCAGGATCTTTTGAGCTAGTTTTGTTGTTGTTGTTGTTGTTGTTCATTTGTTTCTTTGGGTCTCTTGTTGTATTGTCATTGTTGTTTTCCGAGGCAGGGTCCTGTTATCCAGTCCAGGCTGGCCTGGAACCTGGGAACCTCGTACATTAGCCTCTCAAGTGCTGGCACCTGGGAACCTGGTACATTAGCTTCTTAAGTGCTGGCATTTCCACCAAGTGCAGGTGTGTGCCTGCTTAAATCTGTGTGGCTGTGTGTGAGAGACAGAAACAGAGATTGTGTATGGACTCTAATATTATAAAACTATGGGTAGTTTTTTGTTTGTTTTGTTTTTGTTGTTGTTTGTTTGTTTGTTTGGTTTGGTTTTTCGAGACAGGGTTTCTGTGTGTAGCTTTAGAGCCTGTCCTGGAACTTGTTCTGTACCAAGCTGGCCTCAAACTCACAGAGATCTGCCTGCCTCTGCCTCCCAAGTACTGGGATCAAAGATGTGAGCCACCGACGCTGGACGAAACTATGTTTTTAAAGATTTCGTTTTATTTTCTAAATTTTATATATCTTGAGTTTTTTTTTTTGCCTGCATGTGTGTCTGTTCACCTAATGTGTCGTGTGGCTTTGGACTCCAGAAGAGGGCGCCAGATCCTCTGGAGCTGGGGTTACAGACAGGTTGTGAGCCAGCATGTCGGTGTCAGGAGCCAAAACTGAGTCCTCTGGAGAGCAGCTAATGCTTGTAATTGCTGAGCCAGCTCTCCAGGCCCCAAACTCTATATTTTGAAAATACTGTACTTAATGTTCATACCAATAACTATTAAAGGTGTGTTGAGTCTGCCAGCTATTGTAGATAGTCGAGCTTTTGGTTTCCTGTGGTAATGTTATTGAAAGCACTCCAATATTAGCTATTTCTTCGTTGATTTTTTTTTTTTTTTTAAGTAGGTTAACAGAGCAACGTGGTATGATTCTTACCTGTATCCATGGCTGTCTGGAGGCCGAGGAAGGCTTCTGCACTGATAGACCCCCTGGGGCCTATGCAGCTGGGTGAACTTCCTCCAGTCTCTGTGCTTTGCTTCTCTAAGACGCCCATGTCCCACGTGAACTTGGGATGCATGCACCATCCCACCTTGACCTTGAGTGCTAAGCAGGCCGTTCTCATAGAACATGAAGCTGATTGTCTACAGGTTCAGTCAGGAGCCCATGTTTGGAAGGAAGATGGACAGGTGTCAGACAGATTAGGATTTATTTAGAAGGTGCCCGAAGGATGTTTAGTGAGCTTGACCCTGCGTAACTCTCAGTGGAATGTTAGGCTAAGTCCTCAGTTAGAACTGAACTAGAATGCTGGTTTCATTCACATGCCGATTTTGAGCTGACCCATTTTTGTATCGTTAGTACCATGGACTTGTGACCCCACTGTTTCCATGTCTGGTCTTCTGCTGCATGTCTCAGACCTGTCTGGCCAGTGATCTGCTTGGCATGTCTACCTTGATGTTTCACCTCCAGAACAGAATCCTGGATTTCCCCCCCAATTCTGGATCTCCCTGTCCTCCCATCTCAGTAAACGACAGTGTCCATCCATTGTCATGTTCCTATGACCTTCTGCTGACATTTGACCTCTCCCGTTCTTTTCCCCATTGAGTTCCTTTTGAAGGGTAAAATACCATGGCTGGAGCTCTGAACTTTGTGTGTAGCTTAGAGACTCCTACAGTCACTCCTATGTGCCCCGGTGTTTATGTGTATACTAGACATTTCTGAATGTCTGTCTCTGCTTCTTAGAGGACAAGAATATATCATTGTGATGTAATGATTACTCTTTTTCCAGCTGGCCAAAGTGAGGGAAAAACTGAAGGACAGCCCCACCCTCACAGCCAGATTCAATGAGGTCTGTGGGAAGCTGCACATTAACGGCCAAGTCACCGTGTGCACTCTGGATTCTATGCTCTGCCACGTTCCCCGGGACAAGAAACCCAGCACATTCCTGTTAAAGAAGAGGATGGTCAGCCAAAGGACCTTACAACCTCTCAGCCAGTCCCTGCTGACTGAGTAACTGTTTTCAACCTCCCAGGTCTGGAGGTGCACGCTGCTTCAGGCGAATCGTTGGCTTCTCCAAGATGCCAGGCATCTCGCCTCAGTGGCATTATCCTAACACCTGGTCTCCCTATGTCCCCTGAGTGGTGACTTGCTGATCAGAGATGTGTGAAGAGCTAACTCGAGCAAGGGAAGCTCCGTTACCACAGAAAGGCGGCTTCCCCTGTGTCAGGTGCTCCTGAGTAAGGGTGCAGCCCAGCACCAGCGGGAAACTCAGGAAGAACCTGCAGAAGGAATTTCCCATGGCCTGATTGACCTTGATTGACCTTTCACAGAGAGATGTTTTGCAAGTGATAGCCTCACTGAAGAAAAGAGATCTGAAACGCTCTTCTACCATGTTGGGAAATGGCCATGCCATTATTTCTCCAGCTACAAAATAATATTGCCTGTGTGTGTTCGGGTGACTTGACATTTTCATTCAAGGTTCAGTAGCGTTAATCTTTCTCCAAAATAAGAAATAAAAGGTACCTGCACAGACTTGAGATTGCGTTTTTCTTTTCTCAGAATGAAAAAACAAAAAAAAAAAAATCAGAGTTTAGCTTTCAGAATTAGTTAAGTCTGCTAAATTTAAATGATTGTCGTTGGCAAGCCATGAATGCTGATAAGAGCTATGGATGCTTAGTTTTCTGTGGTAGTTTTCTATTTAATATCATAAATACTTGATCCTGCATGTCATCACGTTTGCTATGTACATCATTTTTGTTACTTTGATTATATTGCCATTATTATAAAACTTTCCTGATAACAGGCCGTTTCTGTGACATTTTGAAATGAAGTATTGGATGAATTGTACATATGTGATCATTTACAAAAGGTATCCAGGGGCCATCTCACACATTCTTATTTCTAAAGGGCCCAGCCAGGTGTTGAACAACCAGCAGCAGAAGCCAAGTGTTCTTCAGGCCTGTCCCTGAGGCCATTTACTCTCAGGCAAGAATTGTCCGTAGAATCAGAAAATGTAGAGTCAGAGGAATCTCCCACGTCCTAACTCCTTCATCTTTCAGGTTGAGGAAGTGTCTTGTCCAAACTGGCAGAACTGTCAAGGTTTGCTCATTTGGTAAGTGGGGCTCTTAGCCCTGACTTACTCTAAGCACTGACTTAGAGTAAGTGTGAACTAAAGCAGGCAGACTGTGCCTGGCACAGTAAGTGCTGCCCTACCTCATCACTTGCCACCACCTTAGTGGGTGGCAGAGTATTCCCACCACAGGAGCCCATCTCAATGTCAAAAGGATTTGCCTGTGTTCAATGAAGCGTTAGACATCCTTGTTTAAAAACAAAACTCCAAAAGTTCTGTCTTCATAGAAGAAAACGGAGCCAGGCATTGTGCTGCACGCCTTTAACCCCAGCACTTGGGAGGTAGAGGCAGGCAGATCTCTGAGTTCTAGGCCAGCCTGGTCTATAGAGCCAGTTCCAGGACACCTTCAAAGCTACAGAGAAACCCTGTCTTGAAAAAGAAGGAAGAAAGGGAGGGAGGGAGGGAGGGAGAGATAATGGCTTACTAGCATTTGTGTGTGTGATGTTTTGTAAACAACAAAGCTTTACAGTTTCTCTACCCTCAGAGCCTTGAGAGTAGACCATGCTGCCTGTCCCCCAGCTTAACCTTGTATTTTGCTGAGCATTGAAGTGGCTGTAATGTCTTAAGTCAATGTAGTGATGATGATTGCTAGGTCACAGTCATTCATTAACAAAAAGAAGGAGGAAGGATCACAGAGAACTCTGTACAACAACAGTCCTTGCCAGCATGGCCTCCCTGAGAGGAAGGCAGCTGGTGGTCTCTCTGCTGATGGTAAACAGCTGTCAGACCTGGTTTAAAGTCTTAGTGCCCGGGTCACTAATACACAGTGGTTATAGGTGGGCACTTCCTTAAACTGTGATAATTAAAGAAAAAAAAATTTTTTTAAGGATTGTTTCTTTGACTTACGGCAGTGGTTTTCAACCTGTGGGTCACTACCCCTTTGGGGTCGAACAACACTTTACAGGGGTCACATTAGATATCTTGTATCTCATTTACACTGTGATTCATAACATTATTGAAATTACGGTTATGAAGTAGCAACAAGTAATTTTATGGTTGGGGTTACCACCATATAGGAACTGTATTAAAGGGCCGAGGCATTAGGAGGGTTGAGGACCACTGTTCTATAGGTACGTGGGTGATGGAATTCAACAGAAGCAGGGCCCCTTATGCCAGAGTTAGTTAAAAGAAAGAGTTGACCACCATATAGCAAGCGTTTCTGTTTGTCAGGTTCCAGTAGAGCACCTTAGATGTGTCTCATAGAATGCTCAGGAGAACTCTGTGGGGTAGTCATTACCCCACTACGTGGGTGAAACTGAAGTCCATAGATTTGATGCCATCAGGTGGGAGACAACAAGTTTTAAAAGCAGACCGTTGGGAAACACTTTTTTAATTACACCTCTGTACTCTGTAATCTCTCTCTCTCTCTCTCTGTGTGTGTGTGTGTGTGTGTGTGTGTGTGTGTGTGTGTCTGACTTATTCATGCTGTGTTCTTTTCCAGTTTACAAAACTTAGAAAAGACAGCAGAGGGCGCCCCAAGTCTCTACTTTAGGGTGGTGGGTTACCAGTTTTCAAAAATGTCTTCCATTTCTGGACCTCAGAACAGAGATTCACCCTGCAGGCTACATGGGTAAGGTGTGCCTTAGGATGTTGTTTTCACTTAGGTTAAGAGTTGTCCAATGTGAAGAGGTGTTTTTGGAAGAGAGAAACCATTGGGGTTGGTCCATCACAAAAAAAAACATATGAATGCAAGTGTGTGAGAGCCTTCATACACACTGGAAAACACTAGATGATTCACTGGAATACTCTTGTAATATTCTGTATTTAGGGGAGGAAAATTAAGGAATCCTGGAGTATTCAGTTCTGCCCCATCCAACGAATAGTTCGGCTGTCACATTTTGAGTCCATGAATCAAACTGGTATACTGAGTCTTCAGAGTACTAATTTTAATGAGACTGCCATTCAAATGAAGCCCATCCCCACCAGATACCATGCCAGGGAGGAGCAGAAGGATGAAGGCTGGTGCTCAACGGGATTTACTGAGAAGTCAATAAGTGATTCTCAACATGCTCCAGTGCACCAGAAGGAGGTTCAGAAGCTGAACACGGAGCAGTCCCCGCAGGAGAGCATCTTTAAGGCTGTGAGCATCTCAGGCAGAGAGCTGTGGTGGGCATTGTGTACACACACTGTCAGTACCGGCATTCGGACCAGGGCAGGTAGAGGAAGGGAGGCTTCACCATTTTCTTGAGCCTAGCCCAGAAAGGCTCTGCCATCTTCCCATTGGTCTGAGGCTTTGGTCCTCAACATGGCTGTACCCATGTCAACAGTACACATTCACTCACTCAAGGCCTCCATTGCCCACAGACTCACATATGTTTAAAACCACATGATGGCCAGCTGCCCCAGCTCCTTTAGAAATCTGAAGTTAAATCTGAAGGCCAGAATTATTTCTCTTTACATACGATGTTAAGTAGGCTTTACATAGGCTTTTGTCTTCAGGGGCTGGGGTAGATAGAGAACGCGCATGTCAAGTCTACTGCACTGCGCAGAGAGAAGGTGGCTCTTTGGTCCTGTGGCCTCTTGTCATAATCTGTAGCACGAAGCTTACTTCTATAAGATCTGTGTTCTGGGTGTGTGGGGTAGGAGGGGGTCTTCTTTTATAACCCTCTCTGAACTCAAGGTCCTGCTGCTTTAGTCTGCCCGGTGCCAGGATTGTAGGTGTGTGCCATCATGCTTGACCAGGGTCTTTCTTGACAAACTGACAAGTCAAGATCAGTAAGCTCATTGGGTGAGTAGCAGCTCTGGGCTACCATACCTCATCGTGCCCTGAAGCATGCTGTGATGCTTGGCCCTCGGCTTGTAGCGTGACTTTGAAGGCTGCAGATAGAACCTGTAGGAGGTGTGGCCTGTCTGACAGTAGGTCATTCGGGCCAAGCCCTGGTTCCCATCTGTACTCTCTACTCCCTGTCCCACTCCATGGGATGATCAGAGCTGTCCCGCTGTGCATCCCCCCCCCCCCCTGGGAACTTAAATCTCAGAAACCATGATAAGCCATCCCTTCCTGATGTTGCTTTTGCCAGACATGTTACCAAAGGAACAAGAAGAGAAATTAATCTACCCCTGCGGGGTCCACAGCCTTTACCACCTGCTCAGAACTGAGCTCTGGGTCATGGGTGTAGTCCAGTGACACAAAACTCTTAAGAGTACTCGGGTCTGCACTCATTGTCTGCTTTATTTTGAAGCAGGGCCTTGCTGTGCAGCCCATACTGGTTTGTGACTCACTATGCAGCCCACGCTGGCCTCTAACTCATGATCCTCCTGCCTCAACCTTTAAAAGTCTTTTTCCTCTCCAAGCATTTCAGGTTACCAGTTATGTAAGTCCACTGATATGCTCTTGTGCGTCTTTGTAGAGGTGGAGGATGGGATTCAAGCGGGTGAGCACACACGGCTTCCCCCATGGTGATGGGTCTAAGTCAGCAAGTGATAGGAACTTGCATGTCTTTGTGTTGCAGCATTAGTAAGCGAGCCAGTCTAAAGCAGATCAGGTGACACTGCCTTCTGTTACGCGTCCACAGAGGGAGGTCTTTTGTCCTCCTTGAATTCTACTTCCTCTTCTCCCTTTCTCTGTTCTTCTATTTTCTGTCTTCCCATCATCTTGTTAATGCTTCCGCCCTTTAAGGGAAAAAGAAAAGGAAAGAACAGGGCCGGGTCCCCGTTGGGCTGTTTGGTGACAGGGCTTGGCTTCCTTGCTCATCCTCCATTCCTGACTCAGAGGAGAGGCCACTTCACTGGAATTTAGTAGAAACCCAAGGTTGGCTTCAGTCCTGTGTTTCCCCTAGCCTAACCTCATTAGAAAAGAACGGAACAGGTCAGGATGAGAACAGCGCCACCCTGAGGAACTGTCTTCCTCTCCAGCTGCCCGTGGACAGTAGCAAGGCCATCTGGAGCTGCACATTTGTTCTCTGCACTGTCTCCCAGGCCCAGCATCCTGTGCACCCTTTGACATGAATTACGCCTCTCAGAAGAAGGCACAAGCAAGAAAAGCTAACCCCTATTTTTATTGCACCCCGGGTACATCTCTCTTTTCCTAGTTTGCTCAACAAAGAATATTTAGCAAGCATTTGTTTTACCTGGAAATCATACCGAGAACAGATTAAGAACAGTGTCTGTTCCTTTTACATTCCCATTCCTGATGTGCAAATCCCTGCAAACAACGCCAGACCTTGATTCAGTGCCCAGTCCGTGGTGTGCCCCCATCTTACAGCTTCAGAGATGCCCACCACACCCAAACTCATACTGTCTGGTTGCTTTTGCCTTTATTAATATTTCACTTAATTAATATGACTGTATTTGGTGGTGAGAAATTTTCATTCTTAAGCTGATCCAACTTGCTCTTAGAGCTGACAAATGAATACAGGATTCTCAATCACACTCTGGCTGGAAACGAAGAACTATATGCACC